TTCAAAAAATAAATTGTGTTACCAAACTATCAAATTATAATTAATTATATTAACAGTTGTACTATTTGTTTTTAGATGAAAATATTAACTATTATATGATTTTAATAGTTAATTACTATAGTTTGTAGTTTGAGAAAACCCATAATAAATAAAAATACCAAACTACTTTCATTTAATATACTTCATAAAGATACAACGGGACACTAAGAGTAGATATGCGCAACTGTCGAAACTTGTTGAACCCGGCGAGTTGCGGCGTCGTGGATCCATCTCTGGAAGATACTAAACACAAAGAGGAGATGCCTGAAAAAAGAAACATCAAGATATCCTAATCAAGTGTTCGTTCCAGTGTTAGGTTTGAAGGGTAAAACCCGTTTTCTTTCTGTCTGTCCTGCCCTTCAAATAGGACAGATTTTGTTAAAACTGTGTACATTAATTCAAGTTGTGGTGACGTGGCAAATTAAAATATGACATTTTTGGAGTCAATGTGTTGCAAATATTTGATACAAAAACATAAAAAAATGACAAATAGTCAGTTAAGTTGGAAGACAACAACACTCTTTGGCATGAAATAGTTATCATCAGTCAACTCGTTTTGTTTGGCGGTGTAAGTGGATGGGCTGTAATGACTACCATTTTCACCTTTTTTGTACACACCTATATCACAAAAACCACCATGACCACCACCAAATCCAAAGAGACATTGGCTGTTTTGAGACGAAAGAAAAAATTCACGATTGGTGTAATTTTTACTTTTACCAAACTTTTTTGAATTTAGAGTGCCACTTCTCACAAGTGAAAAGATGTAAGAACTGCCACTGTTGATACATTTGTTAACAGTATTGATATTTCCAGTGTACACGCCACCAAACTTATTATGATTTGTGTCTTCTATCATAAAACATAAATTGCTTTTGTTAATAACTTTTGTATCAAACACAGAAGTGTCTTTTGACCAGTCGTCTATGTCTGAGTCAAACACAACATTTCCAATCTTCATTCCCGTCAACTTCTCAAGACCAGCTTCTTCTCCAAGTGTGATGTGTTCGCGCTTTATTCTCTCGGCTTCTTCTTCGTTGTGTTGTTTTTTTGAATTGATGAATTTCTCTGATTTCATGATTTGATCAATTTTATTGTTTTTTGTTTGTTTGATTTTGTTGATTTCATCTTCAAGTGGTTGTATGTCCATTTTACACTTCTCCTCAAGAAGTGCAATTCTGAGATTGAATATCTCATACAACTTCTCGTTGTCATTCTGTATTGAACATAGACTTGTTTCACTTTTGATTTTGTTGGATATGTTGTCCAAATCGGTGACGATCGTATTAAGTGAAGTTGTAATGTTCTTCTTTCTCTCAAAAACCTCATCAAGTCTGTCGAAGTGTCCCTCTGCATTTTCAATGCGTTGATCAATGTTAAGTGACTTGTCGTCAACAAAGTTGTATTCCTTTTTATTTTTGTTTAGGTCTGACACCACCTTTGCTGCGTTAGTGCAGAGTGTCGAAAGTGCTGTCAACTCGTTTTCCATTGTATGTTAATAGAGTTTTTTGTTTTTATATTGAATTTTATATAATTTCATTCAAAAACATCATTACCTCAAACATAAAGATTTTTTTCTAATCAAAAATATAATTAAACAAACTATCATAAATGATTTTAATTTCAATAAAAATTATTTAAAATATGAAATTAAACTTAAAACCACATAATTTTAAATGTATTTTTTTATTTATTTGAGTAAAAAAGCAAGAAAAAATACATAGATATTGTTATAATTGCTAAATAATTTTTTCACTATCAATATGGTTAAAAGCAAATTCAATAAAGACCAACAGAAAATAGTCGTACAGCAAGAAAATTGTCGTACACTTGTGTTTTTAAGAGTTTCTTGAGGATAAGGTGTATCCTCATGATCAAAGCTATCCTTATTAAAAAATATTTTTCTGAGGATACAAAAAACAAATCCATAAGGTTCAGTTCCCCATAAGGCCCACTTTCATAACCTAAGTTATAATTTACACTATATATTTCGAGTCAAAGTTCAATTTTTAAATAATGGTAATAATTTGTCATAAATGCCAAAAGATTAAAAACAATCAAAAAATCGTTACGATAATTTATAAACATAAACAATAATTATATCTCGCGAACTTGAGACGGGAAATAACAAAACATAAATTAAACTTGTTCATATTATTATTATAAACTTATTGAGATTATTTCCGAATCCGTCTTTATACATAATAATCGAAATATACATTTAAAATGATAATTGTTTTTTAATCAAAATGAAAATTGAAAAAGTCGAAAACACTGATTTAATAAAAATGTGATTTTAAATAACAAATTTATAAATAATTTTGTAATTTATGCAATTATTCAAATTTATTGTAATAACAAAGTTAATCATATTGTGTATATGTTAAAAAGAATGTTTCATTTTGATATTAACTTGTGTTTTAAACAGATTTACAGTTCTGAGGATGGCATTTATTTTCTGAGAATGACAGAAATAGAAAGTATACACTCTTACATCTATCTGAAATGTATATTGAGTAAGTTACTATTTTTGAATATGGGAACACGTCATTTCACTTTTTAGATGTTTAAGTCCGTGTTGATAATGTCTGTTTGTTACACGACTTACCATCCTCAGAGATATGTATAGCACTGCCACTATTGATTTAAAAATCTATATTTAACATTATATTTTCAAAGAATTGATAAAAAGTGAGTTTTGTTAATTGATAATAACAAAAATCGTCAAAACATAACAAAAACGCCAAATAATATATAAAATTGATTAATAAATTAAAGATTCATTTGTTGAAATTAATATTGTATGATAAAAAATAATAATATAAACATATATTTCTTGTGTGTATATGTTTTGAAATATAAATAAAACCGTTTAAAACAAAAATAATAATTTTAAAAATTTGTTTATTTATCAATCGTTGTTTTATCGATATCCAAAACCTCTCGTTTTGTATTTGCGCAAATACATAAATTGTCATCGCATAAAGTATACGTTATTAATATGTTATTTGCTATCAATTTTTATTGTTTGAAATATCATGAATTGATTTATAATAAATTGTATTTTTTTGTGAAAAAGATTAAAAATTGTTAGATTAATTCGTTTTGTGATTTTAATTAAAAAATCGACTTTTTCGATAAATTAAATTAATTTTTATTGTTTTCATAAAAACCAAGGTTAGTCAAGTGGTAAATCAGAAAATAGAAGTAGATTATTTTTTGTAAAAATCAACTGAAAGAATCATCTTTCAAAAAATCCATTAATAGCATTTTTAAAGAAAATCATGTGTTTCAAAATATACTTTTTTGATCTTAGGCAAAAAAATCCAAATTGAAAGAAATTATGTTTAAGATATTTACCATCCTCAGAAAAATTAACAAATTCATGAATCCCTTTAATGTTTTTCATTTATTTTTGAAATATAAAAAAATATAAGTAATTATGGTAAAAAAACTTTTATTGCCGAATCTGCCTTTAAAACAAAGATTTAAAAATAATAAGCTAACATTAACACGTTTGGTATATCTTTTGGTAATTATTTCCTTTTTCTTTTTACCTTATAATTGTTTTTGCCATTTTAATTGATTTGATCGTTTAAAACATAATGAGTTTAACCGAAATTGATGTTCTTGATGATGAGAATTTTTCTGATGATGACAATGTTGCTGAAACAAATTTGGTGGTTACTTTTTCAAATGAAATAATTACACAAAACACTGAACAAAAAGAAATTGAAAACATAATTATTGAGACCCAATCCCAAATTGCTTTTGTAGAACCCGAAAAATGGGCAGAAAATGTTTTGACAAATGATTCTTTTGACATTGATTGTTTCAAAGAAAACTGTCGAAATTTGAACTTCAAAATTGAAGAATCTATCCTGCACAACCCCAAATTACTTTTCAAATATTATTTTTGTCCCGAAATAATAGATATAATAGCCTTTGGAATCAACCAAAGAGCACAAGATGACAAAAATAGACAATGTGTTTTCAAACCAATACTTCCCAATGAAGTTTTTTGTTTTTTGGGAGTGCTGATTTATTTAGCAGGAATTAAATGGCAATTGCCATTGAAAGATATTTACAACCCGGAAATTGGCGTTCCCTTTGTGCAAATTTGTTTGACAATTACAAGATTTCGGGAAATTTGCCGATACTTCAGATGTGATGACAAAAACAAAAGAGAGGGGTTACGAAAACAAGGAATTAAAAACGAAGGAATTTTCGAAATCTCGCAAATTTTCGAAAATAACCTCAGGAACATTTCCGATCCCGGAGAATTACTCTGTATTGATGAAAGGATGTCGAAATTTCTTGGGAGAGCACACGACAAAATTTACAACCCCATGAAACCGATCAAAAGAGGGTTTGAGTATTTGTTATTGGTTGATACAAAAACCAACATTTGTGTGAACATGTTTCAGTTTTACAAAGGGTGTGTTGAAAGAGATGGTAATATTGGGAGAAAATTGGCAAACAAACTTATCGAAGGAATCAAAAAAGAAGAAAAACCTATTTATAAAATACAAATGGATTCACGATTTATAGAAATAGATTATTTGCAAAAATGGAAGGAACAAAACATTGAAGTTATCGGGACAGTCAGGAAATCATAATTATTGCCAGAAAATTGGAACCAAAAAACAACCCCCAAAGAGCAAGAATACAAAACAATCAAAAAAGAGATAAAAAAGCAGAAAAAGCGAAAAAACCAAAAAAAGAAGTTGAAGTTGAAGTAAAAAAGCGGGAAACTTTACTTAAAAGGTTGGAAGAAGAAATCAAAGAGGAAAAAGAAAAAAAATCCACTTTTTAACAAATTGTGGACAAAAAATGGATTATTTTTAAATTGTTTCAATCCTTCGAAAACAAAAACAGTATCCATTGTTTCCACGTTCTTTGAAAACAAGGGATTTTCTGTTGAAAACGGGAAAACAAATTTAAATTGCCTTTACAACAAAATGAAGTTTCCCGTCGACATTTTCAACTACTTGTGCGCGTATTATCCCGTTCCATTTAAGTCAAGCCGATGTACGTTTGCATTGTTTAAAAATATGTTGGAGGTTGGAATGACAAACGTTTATGTCATTTCACGTATTTTTGAAAAGAATCTTGAACACGGTTCGTTTCTCAGAGAACTTGGCAAATCGTTGTGTGAAGAACACATTGCCAGCAAATTTGAAACACTAGATGAAAAGGACCAAGTGAAAACCGTGTCCACGTTGAAGAATTGTCAAATGGGAATTGATGAGGCAATGAAAACAGTTGTTAGCGGGGAAAGTGAACGAGGAAAGTGTCTGTCTTGTCTTTTGGCACAGACGAAGAAGAGTAGTAAAAACAGAAGAAACAAAAAAGATGTAAGAACTGTTAAAAAGTGTTTCTTGTGTTACCGACCGTGCTGTAAAAACCATTCGATCAATGTTTGTGATGTTTGTCAAGGGAAAGTTGATATTGGAGACGACTACAAAGAAGTTAGAAAATTTCCTGCTTTTTCTAAGAGGGTAAGGAAACATTACAAAGAATCAAAAAGAGGTTCAATTCCCGATTGTTAGGGAAGAAGTCGAAAATCTTACTTAAATGACTCGTATTTGAAACTTTGTTTGAATAAGATGTATTGGATATTTTTTCCTGGGTTCAGCTTGGACAGTTTTTTACACAATAAAAATGATGAAAAAAACCAATTTCAAACTTTTTTGACATGAGTAGCAAAAAACAAAAGAAAAAATTAACAAGATACTAACCAAACGTGTTAAAAATTGGGCATAATTATAACAAATAATTTGGAAGTCAGTTGAAAATTAAAGTATAGATTTAAAGAACTTTTATTTTATTTGACCAACTCCCAAAATCAAAATTTAATAAACATCATTAGAGTATTATTTGGAAATAATCAAATTTGATTTTAATCTCGACTATAATATTTATTTAAACATTATACAATTTTATGAACTATTATTATTATTTTACCAATGAAACAATACATAAGACAAATTTTTTAATTATTAAAGTCATTAGAAAAACATCATTATTTTAATTAAATCCAAGTTATTTCTCAACTTTGTCTATTTTTAATATTTAAAACTATTTATTAATTTGATGTTATAATAAAAAAAATATTTTACCTATTCGAGTATTTTTGAACAAAAATAAATAAAAAGGTTAATGAGAAGTGATTATCAAAACAAATACTAAAGATTCAATTAACATTCCCAACAACCCACTTTTGTTCATTCAAATTTTTGTTTTAGTGTCGCTTGTTTGTAAACATGTATTATAAGTGTTTTTTCGCTTCTAGCATTAACTAACAATCTAATAATAATTTACTGGACAGGTGTAACTAAAGTGTCTTCTGTAATATTAAAATTCTCATTGCACTTATCTCATTTTCTTTTCTTATTGCATATCTTTCAATTTGTCATTGCATTTATTGCATTTGTGTTGTTAACATTGAAGAATCCATCTCACTATTTAACACACTTCATTGTTTCTTTGTCTAAAATTTTTGGTGCAACACACTCTAGACAATCAATCGGATTTGTGAACACTTTGCATTTCTTGCACATTTTCACAGCACCAACTTTGTAATACATTCCTGGACAATAGTCTTTCACACACTTTTGGTATTTTCAATAATCAAAGCATCGTCTTTGCAAATAGTTTACTTGGTTTCTTTGTTGCACATGTCTTACAATTCTCAACACAAATAATGCACAACTTTTTCTTAGCATAATACGTTACTAAACAATCTTTTTGTTTATTTTGTCTGGTTGAAAATTATCAGTTGTTCACGTGATAAACTCAGTAAATGATTTGAAATTTTAACGAACAGCAATTGTATTACATGTTGAACATGTTCCTTCAATAGCCAAATAGAATCCATCAATATTAAAAAACACTTTGAGTACGTCTCATATATCTAACAATTGCTTCAGCTTTGCATTCTTGTGTGTTGCCGTTTACCCTGTGTGTTAGCCAAAAAGACGTTCATTAACTGTTAATTTTTTTTTCGGTGTCTTCAAGCATAGTTTGTATACTAAAAGTACATTTACTCTCATCACTGTTAATAATGTATTCTGCAAAATTTTTCTTAAATTTGTGTGAAGTTATGGTTGAATCGTCGTTAAAATAACCATCATCGCACTTGTCAGAACATTAAAAAGGACTTCATTCAGATAATAATTTCTTGAAATTGTTGAAAGTTTGTTCAGATATTGAAATATTTTTTTCTTAAATGTTTGGTTTTAGTTCAACAAAAATATTAAAATAAAGAACAAATTATTTTAAAATACAAACTTAATTTTTAAATAATTGGTTAGTTGTTCAACAAACATCAAATTATACTTAACTATTATGACAAATAAACTTGTTTAATGGATTCATTCATTGTCTATTTATAATAAGAACAAATTGGTTTCAAAAATAATATATACTTCTAATATATTTAATGATTTATACGTTTTTAATTACTTTTGAACAACTTTAAAACAATGTTTTCTCTTAAATTATTTTACAATAAAAAATAAAGTCTCTACAACGCTTCTAACAAAACAGTGTTAATTAGACACATACCACATGATGGTCTTATTATAATACTCAATTGCATTTCGAGACTTAACTGATCTTTATATGGTCTCTCATAAATATCACGACTTTATAATACTTTTTCACTTTTATCCAGTTCCAGTTACAGAAAATACTCTACAATACGTCCACAAAAGAAAAACACTCAATCTTTCGAGTGATGAAGTTGACACTATTAGTAAAAGAATTTACATCCACAAGTACTCATACAAGCCTCGTGAATGTGATGATTATGAGGTTAGCCGTTATTGAAATTTTTATAGATACACAATTATATAAATTTAAACACTGCTTCATTCACAAAATAGGCACAAACACACCATTAAAAATGAAATTTCTTAAGATCATGGTTTAAAATTATTAATAGAACAGTTTAAAATATGAAAGAATGAAGAAACAAAATTTTTGTTTGGTAATGTAATTTATACAAAAAGATAAATATATCATACAGTGTGCATATTAGTCGACTACAAGACGTTGAAAGGGTCTCTTATGTTATCAGACAAATAGAAGAGAGCTGTTTAAGAAAATTTATTAAAAATTATTTTAAATTCTAAATGGTGTCTTAAAATTAAGTTCAAATTCATTTGAATATGTTACTGCATTCTAAAGTATTCAATTTCCAAAGAAAATTGTGTTATTTGAGTTTTACGCATTTGCCAGATGCAACGGTTTGGAGCCAGTAGAAATCCCAGAGAGCGTCGCGTTTATTGGAAAATACTGTTTTACAAGTTGCCAAAACTGTCACATATACAAATTGGGACAGGAGTGAAAACACTTGAAAATAGTACTTTTGAGTATTTACTTGTATTTAAACATATTTTTATTTCAGAAAATGTCGTTGTTATTAAAAGAAACTGTTTTGATGAGTGTAAAGCACATAAAAAGATATAGTAAAAAACAGACAGTGCTGTATCGAAGAATGTTCATTCACAAGGTCCGCCATTTTGAAGAGATAAAACTAATTATCGATATTGAAGCGTTGTTTCGTTAAATCTATTGATATTACAATTAATAGTATTAAATTTATTATTAAATTATAATAATATTGTAGTATTTAATATGGTAAATTTAATAATTTATAATAATAGTAAATAAACTTAAATAATATTTTGTTATTAAAATAATAAATTATAATAAAATGTTATATTGAATAAAAATTAAAAATAAATAAACAAAATTCAAAGATGTTATTTACATATGATTTAGTACTTTGATTGGGCAATTAATTTTCCACTTCAGCAACATTTTGAGTGTTGTTAAACGCATTAGTTGAATATTCACCAACATCGTTGGGACTCAGTTGATTCATATTGAAATAACACGGTTGAATGGTGTTGAAATAATTCATGTCAAACAGAGGAATTGCATAAGGCGTGTTGTTCACATATGAAATAGCGACTGGGACATAGTATACTGGCAGTGTTGCAATTCCATTTGTGATGTCTGTGGAAGTGCTTTGTAGTGAAGGAGAAGAGTTTATTTGGCTTGTAATTTCTTGTTTAATTTCGACGCTAATATTTTCATCTATTTCTTCTTCTTTTTCTTTGTCTTCATCTTCATCATCGCAGACCATTGACTTATCTTCATTGTTAACCACATTGTCTACAGTTGACTCAGTTATTGTTGTCGTTACACCTTTGTTCATTTTGTAGCTAATGATTTCCTTTTCATAGTCTTCAAGTGTCACATGTTTAATGTTAGAGTATTGCTTGTTGTATTTCATAGGGATGTCACCAAGAAATATTGCCGTGTCGCTTTTCCGAGTTTTGCTTTTGAATTTCATTGTGTTGAAACTTTTTGAAAAGAAGTGAAGACCACATTCTCCATCATCTGCTTCGGTCTCACATCTCATTTTCAATTCAAAATCAGACTTCTCAATGTTGTAGGATGGAATAAGTAACAGTCTAACACTTGACAGCTTATTTGGATCCTTTGCTGTTCGTGTTCGTCTTTCACTCTGATTTTTTGATGGGAAAAATGTCTTGATTTTGTAATTCATGAAGTTCATTAAAAACAACAATTTGTCGGTGTTGTTCATCTCTTCAATTCCTTTGCTTTCTGATATAGTGACACGCTCTGATGTATTAATTAATGAACTTTTCTTTATTGGAAATCCCTTCGAGTCAAAAACAATGTTTGAGTTTTCAACATAATATCTTTCGTTGGAGTCGTAAACTATTTTGCCCTGCTTATCGAAGATGTTTGCAATTTCAAAGCGTGCAGCCATCTTTTGGCTTGTTCTCTTTTTGTTGAGGATAATAAAAGAATACTTCTTTTTCATTGCCAAATAACTGAGACAAGAATGAATGTAAAAGTATTTTGAATCTGTAGAATCCCGTTTCAATTTTGCGTTCTTTTCTTTGTTGTCTTGGTCGCACGTGCTTGATGTGCTTGAATGACTCATTGTTTGGATTGTTGAGATATTGATACTATATATAGTGAATATATTTTAATTATTTAAAATAAACAATGTTTATTTAAAACACTCTAATTGGGCGTTTTAGTTTAGGTTCAATCGTGTTTGACCATATCATCAACTTAAACTATATTTTATAAATAATTTATTTATTAAATATTATATTAAAAATGAAAACTTCAATGATCAATTAAGGTTCATTTCTTGTATGTTAAACATAAAACCCGAATTTTAAACGAATTTTGTTGCAAAATTTATTTTTTATAAGTGTTTATTATTAAAAACAATAGGTTCATACTATTTATAGAATAGTTCATTGCGAGCTCAATCAACTTTGGACTAGTTTCTTCAATAGATCTGGTTATTTATAATTGTAGATTTTGTTATTTTATAAATACAATAACAAATATTATGTTATTTTCTGATTGGCAAATTTTTAATTTATAGTTTGTAGTTCTTCCTCATTGTAAAAATAAGTAGTATTGATAAATAATTTATATTGGTTAGTTTTATGTCTTTTAAATAAAAAAATCGCTCATTTATCATTCTTACTTTATACACGGTTTATTTCGCAAAAACACAAAAGAACTACATTACAGTTAAAACTATATAAAACGCAATAATTAAAAAACCCAAACAGTGATTTTATGCCGTTCCAGAAAATTTGCTTTGAAATATAAATTAAAGAACAAAGTTTAAAAACAACGTAAATATTAACAACAAAAACACACAAAATAATTGATTTAAATCATTTACAAATTGTTTAGTAAATTGTTAAATAAAATGAGTTGAAAAAATATCAAACATAAATGTAATAAAAGGAAACTCTAAACATGTTTAAATTTGGTTTTATGTGTAAAACATTTTTAAGTTTAACTGATAGAATAAATGTCAAGATTATTTAAAGTAAAGTCTTCATTTTTATAATAAGAAGACAAACACAAAAGTATCACTTGAAAATATTATACTCATCATGACATCACAACACAATAAGAATATCAATACCAAAATTATAAAACATTTGTTGTATTTTATTGTTTTTTATGTTTTTTAACTCCATATTTCATTTTTTGTCCATAGAAGAAAACCACATATTTTTCATTGAAAATAATAATATTAACTAAACTGATATTTTCGTAATAACTCGATAAGAATGACACCATATTGATTCATTAATATTTTTATTGTTGTGCTTTTATGTCGACTATGATGTGTTTGTGTTGAAAAGTATTTATTTAAGGTAAAATCAAATAACATTATTGGGTTTTTAAAAAAGGTTTTTTAAAAAATATTTTGATTAATTTATTCTAAAATAATAAAACAGGTATGTTTTTTTAAATAAATCTGTTCTTTTACATTTTTGATTATTTTTTAAATAAAAACGGGACTTTAGGAAGTTCTTAAATATAACAATACAGACTTTTGTACAACAATTTACAAACAATACCTTTCATTTAAGAACAATATAATATCAACATGTCATATTATATTATAAAAAGCATTTGTGGTTTAAAAGCAGAATTCCACCCTTCCAAGGTAGAGATCCGGGTTCGAGTCCCGGCAAATGCATTTCAATTTTTTACATCATAACACCTTTAATTCATTTTCATTTCACTCTTAAAATCTCAGTATAAATTATAAAGACATCATAAGATTTGAACCTAAGTTTCAAATGAAAAGTAAATTCGAGTTACACGTTTTGGACCACTTAACCAAGTTGTCTTCCTGTTTTTAGATTAAAAATAATTATATTTATTATAATATTATGTTAAATAAATATTATAATCGTATTTAATTTATAAAAAAATATTAAATAGAATTGTATTTGGTAATTATATTTTGAATTATATAATGATCGATGACTAGCCAACTTAAACTTTACAAAAATAAGAATATTTTTATTGTTGTTATATTAATAAATATTTTAATAAGAATTAGACAAACTGTGATTATATTAACAAGACAATTATATTAATATTTTATTCCATTGATCAAATTGTATAGGTTTTGCCGTGCTCGTGTTTTTATAAACACATATAGGTCTCAATATAAGAAAGGCCTAAATTATATATTTGACTTTCTAAAAACACGTGTTTTAAAATTTTATTTGTTGCCATATTTGTTTTTTTAAATGGCTTCTCGAAATAAGACATTTTTAATGGTCGAAAAAGTTCCAGAAAAAGTTTACAATTTGAAATATAACAAATATTATTATTTATATGTGGATAAATTAAAAGTTTTTTGAAAAAAAAATAAATGTAACACTATTTAGTCATTATTTTATTTTTATAAATGAGAAAAAACATTGTTATTTTTATTTTATTAAGTTGATACATTAGTTGATATATTTACCATTGAAAGTCATTTTTAAATATATATATTCAAACCTGTAACAAATGAACCAGTTATAAATATAAAATTAAATAAAAATATTGAAAATGAATTTT